TACACAGTTACGTAGCTTCACGTAGATGAAACATTATCGCTAGTCCTGGCCATGGGTAGCCCGGCCCGAAAAAGCCCGACCCGACGCTGCTCCCGGGCTTGTCCCGGGCCTAGATTTTGAGCCCGAAGGTCGGGCCCGGGCCCATTGTTTTCGCATTTTTCTGAAGGGGACCAGCCCATGGCCTGAGGCCCGGCGGGCTTTTACGCGTGCGGGCCGGGCTTGGGCCCAAAAACCAGGCTCGATGGCCGGGCTGGGCTGGGCCCGGGCCTGGATTTTTGTGTCGGGCTTGGCTAGGCCCGGCCCGAGGTATGGCCAGGTATAATTATCGCTTTTTCTTTGGCCTCCATGTCAACCCGTAAATTAATTCCTGTAGGAAATCTCCGGCAAGTGCAGCATGCTTGCAGTTTTTAGTAACAGAGAACATGGAGAATTAAGATTGGATGGAAAGGGATGGGAGGGGCCCACACCCTTGAAAATCAGGGGGTGAAAGAATTTGTTAGGCAGGTTATGTAGGTTTGTGTAGATTACCCGTAGATGTAGGATTATTCTTACTCTGGATTTTGCCAACAACGACCCGCTAGATTTTCACAAGAGACTCTTCCTCTCCAATAACCACTAGATTTTTTTTCTCGCAAAAAAACCACTGGATGTTGACAACAACATCCTTCTAACAGCCTCGCCACCCTTCCCAGAGTGCAGCGAGACGATCACAAACATCCACAGTGTCGCCAAGCGTCCCATTGGCACACGGATCAAATATAGAAGATAGCCAGAGATTGATAAAAACTTGAAAGATTACAAAATCTATTTTAAAATGCAAGAAAATTCATAAAAATAAGGGAAATTTGAGGGGCAGGTAGAAAAAATACTAGAGGGTTGAGAAATATATGAGGAATGGTGTGAGCACCTTATATCCCCTCCTAGTTATATCTTCCTTATTTTTCCCTTCCAAGAAATTTCCTAGAAACTATCAGAGGCTATGAAAATAGGAAAAATGTCTAGGATGTTGAGAAAATTGTGGGTACCGCTGTTTATCCCTTCCCAACTATTTTTGTCCCTTCTCCTTCACCACACCAAACATGGAAAATCCATTTCTCTGTCAAGGAACATCCAGGAAATGTTCGTGCAGGGAGGGATGCCTGGGTAATCCTTGAGCCGGGATTTTTTGGGCCGCATCCGAGTACGACCTTAGCCCCAAAACTACAAACAATAGTATTTACTTACTTAATGTATTATTGGGATATATGAATTCATAGTTACCCCTAATTTCTATTTAAACCATGCTCTTCTAGTGTTTTGATTTTTTGGGGCTTTTGGGATGAAAATATAAGCTCGATTCCGGCCCGACATTGGATTCAACACAAACTATTGAGCTGGAGTATCCATGCCTAGGCCTACCTCAGAGCCTTGGAAGGCTTGGGTTCCCTACGGACCAGAACATTCCGTCCTCCTAGGTTATTCCTTGCCCTAACACTAGGAAAGACATGATTACTCCGCGCTATCTTCATTGATCCCATCACTTCAGATATTGGGGGTCTCCCCTATCCCATAATCAGGAAGACATTATAGCACACATAAGGAATCTAGGAAGAAGCATAAACATCTACAAGTCAGCTTGAGAAGGTTAGAAGGAACGTAAGACTATCCAGATTCAATTATTTGACACTTTAACATAACCGCTACGGTTTAAGGGGGCTCATGTTGTGCGAATGTCTGACTCAGTCCCGCCTGGCCTATGTGACGGACGCCTCACAAATAGTAAAATTCAAGTCAAGTCAATGAAAGTCCAAGAGACTAACCATGCTTCAAAAGTCAAATGAAATGCGAAGCTGAAATCAAAAGTCAAGAGATGAAGGCTCAATCAAGCCCGCCACTACTAGGGATAACCTTTGTAGTAGCGCTTGTTTTATAGCTAGTAGTAGCGCTTGTACAAGCGCTACCAGTAAGACGCTACAGCTAACTGGTAGTAGTAGCACTGGTTTTCCAACGCTACTACTATACCTAGTTAGCAGTAGCTCTTGGTAATGAAAAGCGATGCTGATAATAGTAAGTAGTAGTATTGTTTCTTCTGAAAAGCGTTACAGCTAAATTTTCCTGTATTTTTGGAAATGCAGCTTATTGTCGCTGTATTTGTATAGGTTTTATATACAGTACTTTCATCATATGATTTTATGACCATGATTAGTTATTATATATAACAATGGTGAAATAAACGTGGATTAGATTGAAGTGGAGGCAACATGTGGTGCATGTCGAAAGTACTACTAATTCAAACTTGATCATATTCATTTCACCCACTAATATATATATATATATATATATATATATATATATATATATATATATATATATATATAATAACTCATCATGCTCATATAACAACTTAGTATCGTGCATCATCATAATAATAAGTAACTCATCATTGGTATCATAATAACAAGTCCTACTCATCATCATCATACAACTTCTACTCATTATCATAATAACAAGTCATACTCATGATCATCATAGTCATCTAACCAACCATACTTAATTGTTCTTAGCACATGACCATGTTTGTTAGCTAGGACCTAACTACCCTCTCTAAGGTAAGATAGAATAAAATAAGATAGGCCCTGACTCTCCATTATGGAGAA